AGTAGCTAATGAAAGCTCAATCATCGTTAAGGCTACCCACACCTTGAGTTTTCAAGTCCCAAAATTAGCATTTTTCTTTTCGGAAAATGAAAAATTTATAGGTAAGTGGCAAATATTAAACATTGGTTTAGAGAATGAAATTTTAAGCGATATACAAACAGAGTTTTCATTTATTACTCAAAATTTAGTAAGATCATGTTATAAGCATAGAAAAGCATTCAGCCATAAAGGGACTTATGGACATAGCCTGATTATCGGAGGAAGTTATGGGAAAATAGGAGCTGTTGCTTTATCTTCACAATCCTGCTTAAAATCGGGTGCCGGTTTAGTGACCAGCTATATTCCAAAGTGCGGTTATGAAATTATGCAAATATCAAACCCTGAAATAATGACGATAACCGATATTAACCATAGTGAAATAACTCATTTTCCGGAGGTTAAAGACTTCAATGCCGTAGGTATAGGCATGGGATTAGGAACTGATAAAAAAACCGAAAAGGGTTTTATTGAATTTATCACGAACTATCCTCCTGAAATGCCTTTGGTTATAGATGCAGATGCTTTAAATCTTCTTTCTACCAATAAGAATTTATTAAAAATACTACCTGAACATGCCATTTTAACTCCTCATCCGAAAGAATTTGAACGATTAGCAGGAAAGTCTATCAATTCAAAAGATAGATTATTAAAAGGACTTGGATTTAGTAGAAAGTTTCAAATTATTTTAGTTTTAAAAGGTGCTTATACACAAGTTATTACACCTGCCGGACAAGTATATTTTAATTCAACCGGTAATCCGGGAATGGCAACAGCCGGAAGCGGGGATGTCTTGACCGGTATAATAACCGGGTTATTATCTCAAAACTATTCTCCGGAAGAAGCCACAATTTCAGGGGTTTATCTTCATGGCTTAAGCGGTGATTTAGCCTTAAAACAGGAAAGTTTGGAAAGTTTGACCGCCATGTCTCTTATCAAAAATTTAGGAAACGCATTTAAAAAAGTTTATACCTAAATATTATAGCTTTTGTAAAAATTTATTCTATAAACCTCTCTTTCCACTCAGGTTTTGGCAATAGGCAACTCTCTTTTTTCCCGAACCATTTATATCGGTTTTTAGCTATGATGTCATACATAAAGTCTCTTATGGATGTAGGAATAATAAGCAGACATTTTAATAGCTTTCCAAACCTATATATATCTGTCATGACCTGAATAAAAGCATTGCTTTTAGTATAATGCTTCCCGTTTTGGATATAAATAAAAGAATCAAAATCAACAGGATTTAGTTTATTTTCTTTTAAAAATCGTTGTCCATAATCGGATTGTAAAGAGGCATATTTTAATACTCCTTTTTTATCTGTTAAAATAAATTGTTTTACCACTTCTGCACAGAGATTACACGCCCCATCAAATAATATTATTCCCGATAAGGGTGGTTGTTCCCTCGGTAGATTTATTATATTCTTCATTAAATGATGAGTATTTGTATCATTTTTAAACCCGATAAACTTTATAATCCTAAAAAAGGATACCGATAATCTGTCGGAGTTTCATAGTTTTCTTTAATGGTTCTAACAGATACCCATCTTAATAAGTTTTGCATGCTTCCGGCTTTATCATTTGTCCCCGAAGCTCTTGCACCCCCAAAAGGCTGTTGTCCTACAACTGCCCCCGTAGGTTTATCATTGATATAAAAATTACCGGCGGCATTTTGTAGTTTTTTAGCAGCTATGTTGATAATATAGCGGTCTTTTGCAAAAATAGCTCCTGTGAGGGCAAACTTAGAGGTGTTATTCACTAAATCTAATGATTCTTCCCATTTTTCATCATCATATACATAAATAGATAATACCGGTCCAAAAATTTCTTCTTCCATTGATTCATAATGAGGATTATGAGCTAAAATAATCGTAGGTTGAATAAAATAACCCACCTTATCATCATAATTACCACCGATGATAACATCTGCATCTTCACTTATTTTAGCTCTTTCTATATAGCTCACTATCCTATTGAAAGCAGTTTGATCAATGACGGCATTTATGAAATTTGAAAAATCCTCAGGAGTACCCATTTTCATAGAGTTAATATCATCTTCCAAGTTGTTTTTTACAGCAGTCCATAAAGATTTTGGAATATAAGCTCTGGAAGCAGCAGAACATTTTTGTCCTTGAAATTCAAATGCACCCCGACTTAAGGCTGTGCTGACTTCTTTGGCATCTGCAGACGGGTGAACCCATACAAAATCTTTTCCGCCTGTTTCTCCTACTATTCGGGGATAGGTTTTATAGAGATGAATATTATTGCCTATCATTTTCCAAAAATTTTGAAATACGGCTGTAGAACCGGTATAATGGATACCTGAAAAATCAGGATGATTAAATACAATTTCAGTAGTTTTGACAGGATCTGTATAGACTGTATTAATCACGCCATCCGGCATACCGGCTTCTTTTAATATTTCTATGATAACTTGAGCGGAATAAATTTGTTTATCCGATGGTTTCCACAAGACTACATTCCCCATAAGTGCCATGCATATCGGTAAATTAGCTGCAATAGCCGTAAAGTTAAAAGGCGTAACGGCATATGTAAACCCTTCTAATGGTCTGTATTCCATTTTATTCCATACACCTTTGGGAGAGATAGGTTGTTCGGAATATATTTGCTTAACATAATGAGCATTAAACCGTAAAAAATCAATAAATTCACAAGCGGCATCAATTTCTGCCTGATAACAATTTTTAGACTGACAAATCATGGTAGAAGCATTGATTTTAGATCTATATTTAGTGGAAATTAAATCGGCGGCTTTTAAGATGATGGAGACTCTATCCTCCCAATTAAGACCTGACCATTTGTCTTTATTTTGGAGTAGGTTATCAATAGCATGATGAACATCTTTCTCGGTACCCTGATAATAATAGCCCACTGTTTTTTGATGGTCAAAAGGAGGGTGGATAGCTATTTTTTTATCTGATTTTATTTCTAAACCACCGATATATTGGGGGATTTCAATGGTTTTAGCTATCATTTCTCTAAAAGTATTTAATAACTCTTCTTTTTCTTTGGAATGAGGAGCATAATTTAAAATAGGTTCATTTTTGAGTTCCGGAAGTTGAAATATAGCGTTTGGCATAAGATTTGAGTTTAAAGCGTAAATATATAAAAAATAAAATAATTTAAAATGGAAGGAAATACATTATATTTTGTGGTATTTGGAGGCTTTGCTTTAATAAGCATGCTTATATCCATGAAACTTAAATCTAAATTTGCTTTTTATTCCAAAATGCAGTTAAGCAATGGATTAAGTGGTAGAGAAATCGCTGAAAAAATGTTACAAGACAATGATATATCAGATGTTCAGGTTATTTCTACCCCTGGTCATTTATCGGATCATTATAATCCGGCTAATAAAACGGTCAATTTGTCAGAAGAAGTCTATAATGGCAGAAGTGCAGCTTCGGCAGCAGTGGCTGCTCATGAGTGTGGTCATGCTGTTCAACATAAGGTAGGATACAGTATGCTTGAATTTCGTTCAAAAATGGTACCTGCCGTTCAAATAAGTTCTACTTTATTACAATGGGTTATCATGGGGGGTATGGCATTATTAATGGTAAGTGGTAATAAAACGCTTTTAGCAATTGGGGTAGCTATGTTTGCCGTAACTACGATTTTTGCTTTTGTAACACTCCCGGTAGAATATGATGCCAGCAAAAGAGCCTTAAAATGGTTGAAAGAACGAGATATGGTCATGTCTCAAGAACTAAGCGGTGCTGAAGATTCTCTAAAATGGGCTGCCCGTACTTATGTAGTTGCAGCCATGGGGTCATTAGCTCAATTAATCTATTTCGGAAGTATGCTTTTAGGAAAAAGAGAGTAATATAAGATAAATATATTGTTAATTTAATAAAAGAGGTCGTCTATGAATAGATAACCTCTTTTTTTTATGATAGTTTCTTAACTTTTATAAACCATCTACATATTCTTCCCATTTTTTCTTATCACTATCGGATAGAGTAGCTTGTATTTGGGTTAATTTTTGGATAAAATAAACAGAGCGTGTCGTTTCCAATTTTTTAACTAAGATTGTATCACGATTAGTTTGAGCTGTTTTTATAGAATCTGTCCAATTTTGATATTCTACGGCAAATTCAGTAAGAGCTTTACTTTCAAAATGAGTAGTTTTTTTGGAAGGAGATGTTGTTTTACATGAAATGATAAACCCGAGTGTTAATAAGGGTATAATAAATTTAGTCATATTATAAATTTTAGTTTAGGATATTATTTTTTTGGAGAATGAGGTTTAATATTTTCACGGTTTTTTCTTCCACCTTAAATCTATCATCTTGTTTATAGCCTATTACCCAAATAATTTGATCATTTTTATCACATAAGAGCCAAATATTATCTTTTTGCCATTGTGGTATTTTTTCATCTTTGAAATACTTACTTAGCTTCTTTCTGCCATTACCATTAAGTGGATAAAAATAATCCCCCTCTTTTCTGGTTCTAAGTTTCATCGGAAATTCTATTTTATCTAAATCAAAAACGATTTTATTCGTCATTTTTTGATTATTAATAATTTCCCCTTTTAATGAAAAAGGTTCATGTATTTCAAATTCGGGTAATGAAATGATATATTCTTGGGAGGTATTGATTAAATTTTTGAGAGAAATAATTTTAAATGTCTGCCTATCAATTATAATTTGATGGGTATGCGAATTAAAAACAGAGCCACTTTTGGCGGATAAAATTTTGGTAATTTCTTTTTCATTATCAAATCCATAAGGTTTAAATATTTCATAAATAATAATAGGATTTTGATGTTTTATCGGATTGATTAAAAAAACATTTTTATCATTAATTTTAGCCTTTTCCAATATATTTTCTGCCTGTTTACTTATATAATCATATGATTTTTGAATAATAGATTGTGATTTTTGAATACTATTTATATAATCCGGTTCAATTTTTTTTAATTCGGGAATCATATACTGTCTGATAGTATTTCTTAAATAATCATTTTTTTGATTTGAAATATCTTCTCTCCACGGAATTTGATGAAAAGTAGCATAGCGGATAATATCTTCTTTAGGTTCATTTAATAAAGGTCTGAAAATATGATGTGATAATATTTTCATGCCGGATAATCCTTGTAGCCCACTACCTCTCAATAAGTTAATAAAAAAAGTTTCTATATTATCATCTGCGTGATGTGCTGTAGCTATAGCAAAAAAATCATGTTCTTTGATAAGATCTTTAAAATATTGATACCGTAAGCGTCTTGCCACCATTTGGATAGACTCTTGGTTTGTTTTTTCTTGGAAAGTGTCAAATTTCTTTATAAAAATAGGAATGTCATACTTTGAACAATAATCTTTAATAAATTCTTCATCTTTATCGGAATCTTCTCCTCTCAGTTGAAAATTGCAATGGACAACCGATAAATTTATTTTATATTGCTGAAATAAATGCAGTAATACCATGCTATCTACTCCTCCGCTAACGGCTATCAAAAACTTGGAAGATTGATATTGATTAAGGATTTCGATGGATTTATGAAGCATAGAAATTATTTTTCAAAAAATTCCAATACTTTATCGGTAATATATTTTAATTGTTCCTCATCCAACTCTGTGTGCATAGGCAATGAAATCACTTCATCTATTAATTTATCCGTATTCGGGAAATCGGTATCGTTATAATCGCCTGTGTCATAGGCCTTTTGTTTTCGGAGAGGAACGGGATAATATATCATGGCGGGGATATCATGCTCAGCTAAAAAAGCTTGCAATTCATTTCTCTTGCCATTTTTTACTCTTAGGGTATATTGATGAAAGACGTGATTTGAATAATTTTCTCGTTTAGGTATCAATAAATGAGGGTGGTTTTTAAATGCCTTGTCGTAATAGTCGGCTGCTTTTTGACGGGCTTGATTATAGTCATTTAAAAAAGGTAATTTTTTTCTTAAAACGGCTGCTTGAATACTGTCTAACCTTGAATTAACACCAATTTCATCATGATAATATCGTTTATACATGCCGTGGTTTACAATACCTTTTATTTTATGGGCTAAGGCATCGTCATTCGTAAAAATAGCCCCTCCATCTCCATAACAACCTAAATTTTTAGAAGGGAAAAAAGAGGTGGTTCCAATAGTTCCTATGGTGCCTGTTTTTTGCTTATCACCTTTTGAATCCATAAAATCAGAACCTATGGCTTGAGCAGTATCTTCAATGACATAAAGATTATGTTCTTTGGCTATTTTCATAATTTCTTCCATTTGAGCGGATTGTCCAAACAGATGTACTGGAATAATAGCTTTGGTTTTTGGCGTAATGGCAGCTTTCAATTTCTCTAAATCTATGGTAAAATTATCATAATCCACATCTACTAACACAGATTTTAAGCCCAATAAGTGAATGACTTCAACTGTAGCCGCAAAAGTGAAATCAGCGGTTATGACTTCATCTCCGGGTTTTAAATCAAGAGCCATAAGAGCAATTTGTAAGGCATCTGTGCCATTGGCACAAGGAATAACATGTTTTACGTCTAAATATTCTTCTAATTCTTTTTGAAAGGTTTGAACCTCCGAACCGTTTATAAATGCTCCCGATTCAACTACTTCCAATAAACTCTTATCTATTTCCGGCTTAATTTTATGATATTGGCTGACTAAATCAACCATTTGTATTTTTTTCATATTAGTATTATTTTTTCAATATTCATTAAGTCCATTTAACCTACTGGCTTTAATTATAAAGTCATTTATAACTTATTAAATATAGGGCAAAGTTATAAATAATGTTTTAACAAAAAAAAATCCTTGCCAAATTACGATAATCTGACAAGGATAAATTTTGTTTAAGGAGAAAATTATTTTTTAACTTCTTCTATTTTTTCTTCTTCAACAGCTTTAACTGATTCAGGAGTTGGAGCTACAATAGTTTCTGTTACTTTAACAGAATCTCCGTTTGGAGCAACTGTATCCATAGTAACTTGAGCAACTGTATCTTCTTCAATTTGAGCAGGCTCAGTTGCTTTTTTCTCACATGATTGAGTAGAAATACCAAAAGCTACAAATAAAGCAACAACACCGATTTTTAAAACATTTTTGTTCATAATGATTTTTTTTTATTTAAAATTAACCCTGCAAATATCTGACAGGATTTAGTTTATTTAATAGAAAAATAATTGTTTAATCTTTGAATTATAAAAGTGTATATAAACAATAGAAAATCAATTAATTGTATTTTATTTTACAAATTATTTTCAAATTTTTTAAAAGAAATACAAATTTTTAAGCCTATAAATTAATTTTTGGATAAATTTTCAATAATAAGTTTTGCCGTTTTTTCAGAAGCTCCTCCCCCTCCTAATTTTTCTCTTAATTCTCTATAATTTTCTTTTATGCTTTCCGCTTCTTTAGCATCTAATATATGTTTCAGGGCTTTTGTTAAATTTTCTTTAGTTAAATCATTCTGTATCAGCTCTTTTACTATCTCTTTGTCCATAATTAAATTGACTAATGCAATATATTTAATATGTTTGACTATTCTTTTCCCTATTTCATATGACAGACGACTTCCCTTATAACAAACAACTTCCGGAACATTAAGTAATGCCGTTTCTAAAGTTGCTGTTCCTGAAGTTACTAATGCTGCTTCTGATGATTTTAATAAATGATACGTTTGATTATCTACCACTTGAATATCTTTAGAAAATTGACGATAGAATGATTTGTCAATAGCCGGAGCTCCTGCCACTACAAATTGATAGTCCGGAAAATCATCTATAACCGATAACATAATGGGTAATTTTTTAGCAATTTCTTGTTTTCGGCTACCCGGAAGTAATGCGATGATAGGTTTGTGGGATAATTGATAATCTTTTTTAAATTGTTCTTTATCAAAATGACTTTCTTTCCCTAATTCATCTAATAAAGGATGCCCCACAAAGTCTACTTCCATATTTTTAGTTTTATACCACTCTTTTTCAAAGGGTAAAATCACAAACATTTTATCTACAAATTGCTTTATTTTTTCAACTCTTCCGGCTTTCCATGCCCATAACTGGGGTGAAATATAATAATAAGACTTTATATTTAAACCATGAACAAACTCAGCAATTCGTAAATTAAAACCAGGATAATCAATAAAAATAACGGCATCCGGTTTCCATTGTTTAATATCGTCTTTACATAAACTAATATTTTTCAGAATTGTTCGTAGGTTCATAATAACTTCTGAAAACCCCATAAATGCTAAATTTTTGATGTGTTTAATGGGTGTTCCTCCTATTTTCGCCATTTTATCACCACCCCAAAATCTAAACTCGGCTTCGGGGTCTTGCTTCTTGATTTCGGTCATTAAATTTGCACCGTGTAAGTCTCCACTTGCTTCTCCGGCGATAAGGTAGTATTTCATATTAGTTTTTTAGTTAAATATTATTATCAGATATTTATTATAACATTATTTTTTGATAAAAAGTCAAGAATGATAGCATAATTAAAGTACAAAATTAAATAATTATTTTTTATGTAATTTTGCATCAAACAAGTCGTCTTGTCGCTTTATTATTTTAATAAAGAGGAAAGTCCGGACACCTCAGAGCAGCATAGCGGGTAATGCCCGTCGTCCCATTTTTTTTTGGGAAAGGACAAGTGCAACAGAAAGGATGTACAGGTAAGGCTGTAGTGAAATCAGGTAAACTCTATGCGGTGAAATGCCAAGTATACTAACAATTAAGGGCGGCTCGTCCAATGTTAGAGGGTAGGCAGCTAAGATTTAATTGGTAACAATTAAACCAGATAAATGACAAGAATCTTTATTGATTTAAAGATACAGAATCCGGCTTATAGACTTGTTTTATTTTATCTTGTCTTTATTATTTTTGAGCCAATGATTAAAATATATTTGAATATCATCTTTTAATTCAGGATGTCTAAATGCAAATTCAAAATTAGCTTTTAATAATCCTAATTTATCCCCAATATCATATCTAATTCCTTCATATTCATATGCATAAAGCGGGTTATTATGTTCTTTCATATCCAAAATAGCATCTGTTAATTGAATTTCGCCTCCACTTCCCGGGGTTACATTTTTGAGGTAATCAAAAATTTCCGGTTCTAAGACATATCTTCCCAATGCTGCATAAGTGCTAGGTGCGTCCCTTCTATTGGGCTTTTCAACAAAATAATCTACTTCAAAAGTCCTATCATCTATTTTTTTGCCGGGTTTAATAATGCCATATTTATTCGTATCCGCTTTAGGAACTTGTTGGACACCTAAAATATTTCCTTTCCCCAATTCTTCATATTTATCCATTAATTGTTTGGTAACGTAAGGTTGAGTTTCATCCGTATAAATGATATCATCTCCTAATAAAACCACAAATGGTTCATTTCCCACAAAAGCCTCTGCACAGCTAATAGCATGTCCAAGTCCTAAAGGTTGCTTTTGCCGGACATAATATATATTGGATAATTCGGAAATTTGGTTTATTACTTTTAATAAATCTTTTTTGCCTTTTTCCTCTAAAGTCTTTTCTAATTCATAAGAAAAATCGAAATGATTTTCTATGGAAGATTTATTTCTTCCGGTAACAATTAATATTTCTTCTATACCGGAATAAACAATTTCTTCCACTAAATATTGCAAGGCAGGTTTATCTACAATTAAGAGCATTTCTTTGGGCTGTGCTTTAGTGGCAGGCAAAACTCTGGTACCCAATCCTGCAGCAGGGATAACTGCCTTTCGTATTTTTTTCGCCATAGTGATGAATGATTTATAATTGTTAAAGATATAAAATTAATAAGTGTAAAATCCTTTTTTAGTTTTTACCCCTAATTCATTGGCATTGACTTTATTAACCAATAAAGGACAAGGGGCATATTTTGGATTTTTGAACCCGTCATACAATACATTTAATATTGCCATACAAACATCTAAACCAATATAATCCGCTAATTGTAGGGGTCCCATAGGGTGTGCCATGCCTAATTTCATAATAGAATCAATAGCTTCCTTTTCTGCCACACCTTCATATAAAGCATAAATCGCTTCATTAATCATAGGCATTAAAATCCTATTTGCCACAAATCCGGGATAGTCATTAACCATTATGGGCGTTTTCTCTATTTTTTCTGTTAATGAAATAATAGTCTGAGTGGTTTGATCGGAGGTTTTAAGTCCTGTAATAATTTCCACTAATTTCATGACAGGAACAGGGTTCATAAAATGCATCCCAATTACCTTATCCGGTTTATCGGTTACAGCAGCTATTTTAGTGATGGAAATAGAAGACGTATTAGAGGCTAAAATGGTTTCAGGTTTAGATTTAAGGCTTAATTCTTTAAATAGGTTTAATTTTAGTGTTTCATTTTCAGAAACGGCTTCTATAATAATATCAACCTCTTTTATAAATAAATCATACTTTGTGGATGTATGAATGTTTTTCAGGATATTATTTTTATCGGTTTCATTAATAATTTCCTTTTTTATTTGTCTGTCTAAGTTATTAGAAATTGAAATAAGAGCTTTTTCTAAAGAGTCTTGATTGATGTCAATTAAGTAAGTTTGATAACCGTATTGGGCAAAACAATGAGCAATTCCATTCCCCATAGTGCCTGCTCCAATAACCATTATTTTTAAAATTTCCATTTATTTTTTCAACAAAGATATTAATTATTTCAAATATTAATTATATTTGAATTTTAAAAAATAAAAAATGTCGCAAAGACTTCAATATATTCAATTATTAAGGGCTATCGGTTCATTATTAGTAGTAGGGTTTCATGGACGGCAATTATTGGATGGTATTTTTGGATTACCATTAGGAGAGATATTATTTAAACGAGGCAGTATAGGAGTGTCCTTTTTTTTTATGTTAAGTGGTTTTATTGTGGTTTGGACTACTAAAAACATAGATTTAACCCACCCGATTAAAGCAGGTATTCATTTTTTTGTTAAGCGAGTTACCCGATTTATTCCGATGTATTATTTACTCACATTTTTATGGATTATTTGTTTTTTTTCAATAGCTTCATTTTTACATGGCGAAGGATTGAAACGATTAATTAAATCATTGTTATTCTTGCCCGATAAGCAAAGACCTGTCTTATTTGTCGGTTGGACCTTAAATTATGAAGTCTTTTTTGCAATGGTTTATGCCATTAGCTTATTTTTTAAGCGATATAGGTATTGGGTTTTGTTAGTCATTTATTTAGTTATAATTTTTTTAAGACAGTATGAGTGGTCATCAGCTTATATGCAAATGGTTACCCGGCCTGTTTTTGATTATTTTGTATTGGGAGTTTTAGCAGCTTTATGGCTCCCAAAGATTAGAATCAATAAAAGAGCTTTAATGATTTTTTCAATTATTGCAATATCTTTCTTTCTAATTACTTATTTTGAAATCTATAAAGTACCCAGTCATTTAGTAGCATTAATAATTGCGGGGACGTTTGTAGGAATGTTTTTATTATGGGATTTTTACCCTAATGCACCTTCCGTTAATCCTTATTTAGTAAAATTAGGTGATATTTCATTTTCTATGTATTTATTTCATCCATTTATTTTGGTTGCTTTCCAAAAAATGATTCCCAATATTAATCAGTTAAATGATTGGCTCAGAATAGGTTTATTTATCCTTCAATTTATCCTTATA